ATCTCGTTGGGAAAACACTCTCTGTCAACTTGACAAATATGCTGCAACAACTTCCTTTTGTAGTATATCTTTCACACCTTGATTATACATTCAGGGGCTGCATGCACAAGGTGGTGTTCTTCGGTAGAAAGGCCACTTTAATGTTGGAGAACGTGTCAGATGGTTGTTCAAACTGGTAAGGACAGTAACCATTATCTTAGATCTCATTCACTCCTCATTGCTGAAGTACTGGGCACCACAGGGGTATGATGGATTTGCCAAATGTGCAAAGCAGTACAGTAATCTACAATTTCCTGTCACAATAATGGCCTCTTTGTTACCCACTGCATTCACAAAGAAGACAGCGGTCATTTGCTGCTTCGCATTCTTGGTGCCCCTACAGCAGTTCCCCTTTTGAGAGCAATTTCTGAGGCATCACCATCCAAAAGCCGCCAGTTTCATCCTCATTCCATATATCTCTTGGTGAGTAGCTCCTAGTTAGCTCTTTCACTCACAGAAAAACGTACTTCGTAAGACTCGCGCATTTAAGAAAGTTCCTCATCTCTAAGACCTCTATAATGCCTCTGTTATGGACACATGGATGTTACAAGTGTGAGAAATTCCCAGTAGTAGTCTATTTTTAGCTTGCGTGGCAAGAATACATAGTGCCAACACCAATCAAAATTGAACAGCAACACAATCAACGTGGAACATGCACAGTAACAGAACTTGAAATCTTCTTCATTTGCTTCTCATTCAGCATCAATTCACTCCATTTGAAGTAGACATGGAGAACAAGAATTTTTGAAGCATCATGGTCCATTCATTCATATACAAGGTTATCATGTCTACATTGATGAAACCACATGGGTTCCCAAGATTGGTGAGCAACATATACTGAAACATGAGCCAGTCTGAAAAAGACGGAAATGCGGTTGCTGTAGTGACGCCACTGTCGAGAAATTTTACAGAAGCCAAACATCCCAACACGGTGTTGATGTTACCCCAGCCCCATATAACACCACAATAAACGTGTAGCACTTCAAAACATTGTATTTCGTTGCTGAACAACTCATACATTCCTTTTTCTCTGTTCTTTAACGTTTCTCCCTTGTGTACAATTACCCCGGATGTACTAGCCTATGTCACGCGTAACACACTTCAGTTTAGGGCTAATGGCTTCACATTTCCGCTTAAAAACTGTTTCCTAACATTGAGAGCAGATGAGATTGTTGGCCACTTACCATTACAAATGTCTCAGAATGTTAGCAAAATTCTGAAGTGAAGGACCAACAATGGAAAGGCCATTATAACAGGAAAACGTGTGAATTGACAAGCAGGTTATGGACTGGAAAATCCCTGCAGTTACATTTTCTACAGAGATAGTGATATTTCTAGTCCATTGCTTGAGAGAAAGATTGAAAGCACTGACATATTTGACGTTGAATAGTGCCTGGAAGATATTTTGATTCTTCTACTGAAACTTTGTGTAACATTTCGGAACAGATCACTGTAACAATTCCTGTTTACC